AATTTACTATTTAAAAAAATGTTTTCCCTCATGGGGAAGGCTTGCAGACCGGTCCCCACAATGTCAAAAATTTCAGGTTTTATTATCCTTGGTCCCCACAATTTTACTTTACACTTGGTCCCCACAATGTAGCATAAACAAGTACACACACATACACACACACACACAAACACAAAACATAAATAAATATACATGAATGTCAGTCACTTGCAATATTTGATCTGTTTTGCATGTTAACGTTAAGTTGCTAGCAAGGTAAATTAACTCACCGACAGTTGTAGCTGCCATAGTATCCAGAGTGGTCTCTCCACTAACGGAGGGATGGTGACCCGGCACACCATCCATAATGTCAAACCACAGAAAGGACCTTCTCTGGGCACCACTTTGTCCACTGTGCATTTTTATATTGTGCCCGCAATTTATTTAACATATCTCAAACTTGCATCGTAGTGAGCTGGATATTTAGCTTAGCAAGTTTGGCAATGATGTATTTTATTACGTCTTCGTTCCTGCAGACACCGTCAAACTGGTGTTGTACATTTTCCTCTGCCTAAATGATTAGAGGAGCCCTGGTATCTTCCATAGACCAGTACTGCCGATTCTCTGTTTTCAGTTTAGTTCAAGTTCTTTGCATGATGTAAAACTGCGAAATGCGCATCTTACCGCAAACTCTCTAAAGTTACCTGACTACTCAGAGATAAACTCTGCCTTTAACCTTGACCACGCCTCAAGCCCCAGTTGGCCCGCTTTGGGCCAAGCTATTCGATGGGCCAAAAAACCCTGGCCTGGTCCTGAGGAAGCCCTAATGAGGCACGATCAAGCCCCGGACTGTGGAAATGCAGTGGAAATGCGACTGGCCCTTTTGGCCCGACAGTGGTATTCCAGATACCAAAGTATTCTAGATACCAAAGAATACCAAAGTATTCTAGAGTCAAATGTGAGGTCATCTGTCCGGCAGCTAAATTTTGGCCAACACTGGTTCATGCAACTGGACAATGATCCCAAACACACCAGCAAATCTACAACAGAACGGCTGAGAAATAAAAGAATCAAGTTGTTGTAATAGCACAGTCAAAGTCCAGACCTCATCTTGACTCTAATGCTGTGGTGAGAGCTGTGCATAAACAAATGCCCAAAAACCTCAATAAACTAGAGCAAAGTTGTAAAAAGGGTGGGCAAAATTCCTCCAGAATGATGTGAGAGGCTGATAAAGTAATACAGAAAATGTTTACTTAAAGTTATTGCTGCTAAAAGTGGATCTACAAGTAGTTGAATCTTAGGGTGTCTTTAATTTGTCACCCATGGCTTTCCATATTGGCTTTATTTTTGCTTAATAAATAACGACACTGTGATATGCCATGTGCTGTTGTTCATCTGTGGTTATATTTTCCAATTTTTAAGACTTGCCAAGGACCAGATGATTTTTTATTATGTCCCAATATGGACAACCATGGAATATAATAGGGTGTCCTTTCTTTTCTACTGTATTTGATTTGATTGGAGTTGAAATATCATTATCATTAGTTTTCCAAAGAGCAATTTGTTTTTAGGTAATTTAACCTAAATTACATTTATGAGAGTTAAATAAACTCTTTGCAAATTTGGCATTCAAACCAACCACAGCCAATCAGCAAACAAAAAACATTCATGTTGTGTTTTTCCAAACAAAAACAAGAAAAAAAAACATATCTTGTTTTATTGTATCTGAATGGTAGCTATTGTTTTCACAGGATGTTTGGCAGCTGCACTACAGTAAGCTGAAAGAACAATGAAGTTAAGAGTAATTTCTATAGAAATATGATTGGCAGGTAACTACCACAGGGGACGCAAATGGTGCTACATGGTCCATCAAAGCAACAGAACCATTATAATCAGTGATTCCCTTCCGAGGGAACTTCAAACTGCGTCCACTATGTGGTTGCTATGGGGAATGCCTTCATTGTGACCGGTGTCTGAAGCATGTGTCTAACGAGACAATAACATTGGCCAGCGTTAACATATGACATCAATTCTGGCATGACCACAGTATTAGAGGGCGCCAAGAGACGTCATCCTCCTCTTCTTCTTCAAAGGGACTGTTTGTTTGAAGCATGCATCCGGTAAGAATGCTATTCTTTCTTTCTACCATGGCGAGCACTAGTAAGGCATTTAAGAAGTGTGTGGATCTGTGCCCATGTTATCTGACACCTGATGACACGCATGATCTTTGCGCGAAGAGCAAATGCGTGACGTCCTCGAGGGGGGCGGTTTGCATCCATTGCAAAGTATTTTTATGAAAAAGCTCTGCTTTCGTTTCACCCATCAGTTCCCCGTGGCTTGGGACCCACTACTGCTCAGGCACGGAGGAAAATGAGCTCGTAGGGTTCTCAGGAGGACCTCACTGATGAGTTGAAAAAGGGGCTTTCTCTTTCTGGTTCATCAGTCACGGACAAGAGTGAGCTGCTGGACGATGATATACGATGATGAAGATACGAGAGTAAGTTGCTGGAAGATGATTTCAGCTGGTTTTGCCAACATCAAAGCGATACGAAAAAACAGATATGAGAAGATGCCCCCTATTGAAGAGACGTTAGCCTGCTATCTCTCTATCGGCAAGACTTCTTCTCTCAAGGCTCCCTCCTTGCCATCCAAAACCCCTTCAAATTACATCTCGTCTGAATGGCAAAGCCTACGCTGCAGCAGGTCAGGCTGCAGCTTCAATGCACTCCATGGCAATTTTGCAAGCTTACCAGACTGACCTGTTGAATGACCTGGATAAAGGTCAGGGTCTCTCCCCTGATGAAGTGGCTGAGCTGAGCCGCACCACAGATCTTGCTCTACATGCCACTAAGCAGACCGCTACTGCCACTGGAAGATCTATGGTGGCCATGGTGGTCACGGAGAGACATTTGTGGGTGAACCTGGCTGACATCAGGGTGAAAGAGAGGGGCTTTCTCCTCGATGTGCCAGTGTTGCCTTCTGAGATTTTCTGCACTTCCGTTGAGATGTTTGTCGAAAAGTTTAAGGAGGCGAAGGCATGCTCAGCTGCCTTCAATTCCTTGCAGTATGGTAATAACTGATAAGTTGGGCAGGACACTAACAAAACTTTGACACATTTACAGTTATAGAGACTTTTCAAAACCCCTGATATAGACAAACTTGCAAATTCATATGCAATATATTAAAATTTAATTTTGATGGTTTGATGTAGCCAATAAATGGCTGTGCTTAAAAAAAATAAAAAAATAAAAACAAAATAAATAAATAAACACCCACACATATGGTCATGATAGACCATTTATATTAGGTGTTTTTAAATACTGTGTACTTAATAATAAAAAAATGAATTGTTAGGTATAGTGTACCTCTTATTGTCATGGTGTGACAGCCCTCCTTGGGCTCGACATGGGAACTGGAGCCCTCTCTGTGCTACACTTGGGGACTGGAAGGGGGTGGAAGCAAAACCGGAAAACAAAACGGGGAGAAGGGGCGCCGCTTACTTTCAGTTTGGGTGCTGTCTTCTGTCACAGTGTTGCCTACTGTGTCGGCGCGAGGAGCGATGGAGATGTAGTAGAAGTCAAGAGTCTTTATTTACCACATGGAACACACACGTAGGAACGAGGATTAACGACAGAGACAGCACAGCAAACTCAAACACTATAAATACACAGGACTTGACGAGAAACACCTGGGATCAATAAACATAATTGCACATGAGTGAAAACGGGTCATGGAAAGCACATGGGGAGCAAAACACAAAACAGAGTCTGACAGTTATGTTCATGTTGAATTACAACACTGCTGCTCTTGAGGTGGGATACGGGTAAGTTAAAGGGTTAGTTCACCCAAAAATGAAAATTATCCCATAAATTACTTACCTTCAAGTCATCCTAGGTGTATATGACTTTCTTCTTTCAGACGAATCCAGTCGGAGTTATATTAAAAATTGTCTTTGATCTTTCAAGCTGTTTCATGGCACTCAGCGGGTCTTGCATGCATCAGTCCAAAAGAAGTGAAATAAAAAGCACCCATCCATAAAAAAAAATAGTGTCTCACAAGATCACAGACTATTTTTAATATAACTCCGACTGGATTCGTCAGAAAGAAGAAAGTCATATACACCTAGGATGACGAGGGTAAGTAATTTATGGGCTAATTTTCATTTTTGGATGAACTAACCCTTTAAGGGGCGGGCTTGGTGGAAAAGTGAAAAAAAAAGCCCCCATCCAAAAAAAAAAATAGTGTCTCACAAGATCACAGACTATTTTTAATATAACTCCGACTGGATTCGTCAGAAAGAAGAAAGTCATATACACCTAGGATGACGAGGGTAAGTAATTTATGGGCTAATTTTCATTTTTGGATGAACTAACCCTTTAAGGGGCGGGCTTGGTGGTATGGTTAGGTTTAAGGGGTAGAGGTAAAGTCAACAGTGTAATTATAGATGTAACTACAGAAATTAACTAGAGGCTAAAGTTCGTAAACAAACTTTGATGTTGGCTTGACAAAGACAGCCTGGGCAGCCTTGGGGCAAAATAACCAGAGTACTTGTGTGTCCGGTGTTCTTGAGCTGCCCCGCTGCAAAAAAAAAAAAAGTAGAACAGTTATAGTTTTCATAATATTTTTCTGTGGACACTTGCTATTTTCTATTCTAATAAAAAAGCCTATTAGGCTATGCCAACAGCTTGTACAGAGTTGGCTAGCTGGATGCAAGATATACTGTAAGTATTGAGGAGATTACAGTTTTTGCACACTTATTATATTGGGCTTTATTAAACTTGCTATGCAATTTATAAGTACAAGTCAATTTATTGCATTATTTTCAGTCTTTGAACTGAGATCTTGAAGGATTTGCTATCCTGTGGCTCCCTCGTGTGGACAACATTAGTATTATGGCCTTCATCTTTGAATCACATTAATATAAATGGCTAATATTTTTTGAACAATTAAAAATATTTAATGAATATTTTACTGAAAAATATACCCAGATTAAACTCAATTTCACTGATTCGGCGATTTCATGCTTTAAAAGTAAAATTTTCAACTGACATTTTAAACATTAATGATTGATTATTATGTCACTTGTTAAATGGTTATTTAACAATTATAATATATAAACATATATATATATAATATGTTTTCATAATATTTTTGATAGACCCTTGTTATTTTGTATTGTAATGAAGAAGCTTTTTAACAGAAATTGTCATTAGCAAAAATTTTACGCTAATTTCATATAGGTTTTCAACAGTTGAAGCACTTTTAAGTATCCTACCTTTTCAATGGCTGTTTCCAACGGTTTTTTTTAGGATTTAAATTTCAAAAAGTCAAAGTAGTTAAAGCATTTTAAGCACCTTGTATGAAACTGTTTAGACCAATGTAATTTTCTGTTCTAACTAACAAGTTTATTATGATAATAAAGTTGTAGATACCAGTTAAATTGTGCAATAAGCAAATTGCAAACAGTAGCATAAAACAGCAGGTTTTAGGTTTGTAGATGTTTAGTTGCAGAAATGGAAGTATCAAATATAAAATAACATTGCATAGTTTTAATTAAATATTGATTCTTGTTAGAGCAAATAAACAAATAAATAAAATAAAAAAACAGCCAAGACAAATTTATGATTTTCTCAGTTTTTTTGGATTAACATTGAAGACTAACGGTAAATGCAGTCGCTTTAATGTTCAAATCCAATATACTGATATAATGATACACCTCAGATTTATTTTTCAACAGTTTATGTGAGACATAAACGATTGTTTTCGATGATATTCGCCAAGCTATCATGTATTTTGAAAAAATATTGTATGCGTTTGTCCGTTCGAGCGCTGAGAAGCCAGAATCAGCGCGCTCCAGAGCGCGAGTGTCCGAGACGCGACACGTTGCCCTGCAGTTAAACACAGAATATCTCACAAGCACTCATAAGCACTCATTTTACCTCTTTAATATGTTCTTCTAATTGTATTGCCTTCAATTGCTAGAGTGTTTTAATTTACGAGGCTTTAAAACACATGCAAAGGATGTAATTTCTGTACACATTTGTCCATTCGAGTGCCGAGAAGCCGGCGCGTCGCGATGTGACGCAGATGTCAGTGAAACATAAAAAAGAGAGATTAGCGATTGCAAAGTAGTGGTAGGAGAAAGTGTAGCTAGACAGCATAGGATGGTGGTGTGTAAGATGACTCTGGTGGTGAGGAAGATGAAGAGAGCAAAGGCAGAGCAGAAGACAAAGTGGTGGAAGTTGTAAAAGGAAGAGTGTTGTGTGGTTTTCAGGGAGGAGTTGAGACAAGTTTTAGGCGGTCAGGAGGTGCTTCCAGATGACTGGACTACTATAGCCAAAGTGATCAGGGAGACAGGTAGGAAGGTGCTAGGTGTGTCATCTGGAAGGAGGAAAGAAGACAAGGAGACTTGGTGGTGGAATGAGGAAGTTCAGGAGAGGATCCAGAGGAAGAGGTTAGCTAGGAAGAAGTGGGACAGTGAGAAGACGGAGAAAAGTAGACAGGAATATAGGGAGATGCAGCGTGAGGTTAAGATAGAGGTGGCAAAGGCCAAACAGAAAGCTTATGAGGACTTGTATGCAAGGTTAGATAGTAAGGAAGGTGAGAGGGATTTGTATCGGTTGGCGAGGCAGAGGGATAGAGATGGAAAGGATGTGCAGCAAGTTAGAGTGATTAAAGATAGAGATGGAAATGTGTTGACAGGTGACAGGAGGGTGAGGGAAAGATGGAAGGAGTACTTTGAGGAACTGATGAATGAGGAAAATGACAGGGAGAGAAGAGTAGTAGAGGCAAATATTGTTGAGCAGGAAGTAGAAAGGATTACCAAGGGTGAAGTTAGGAGAGCTTTGAAGAGGATGAAGAGAGGAAAGGCGGTTGGTCCTGATGACATACCAGTGGAGGTATGGAAGTGTCTAGGAGAGATGGCAGTAGAGTTTTTAACTAGGTTGTTCAACGAGGTCTTAGAGAGTGAGAGGATGCCTGAGGAATGGAGGAGAAGTGTTCTGGTGCTGATTATTAAGAACAAGGGAGATGTGCAGAGTTGTGGGAACTACAGAGGTATTAAGCTGATGAGCCATACAATGAAGTTGTGGGAAAGAGTAGTGGAAGCAAGGTTAAGGGGAGAAGTGAGCATTTGTGAGCAGCAGTATGGTTCCATACCAAGAAAGAGCACTACAGACGCATTATTTGCATTGAGAATGTTGATGGAGAAGTACAGAGAGGTTTGGAAAGAGCTGCATTGTGTCTTTGTAGACTTAGAGAAAGCGTATGACAGGGTGCCAAGAGAAGAGCTGTGGTATTGTATGAGGAGGTCTGGAGTGGCAGAGAAGTATGTTAGAGTGGTGCAGGATATGTATGAGAGCAGTAGGACAGTGGTAAGGTGTGCGGTAGGTGAGACAGAGGAGTTGTGGAACAGTGAGGTTACAGGGAGAAGAGATAAAGAAGGTGCAGGATTTTAAGTACTTAGGGTCAACAGTCCAGAGCAATGGGGAGTGTGGAAAGAGGTGAAGAAGCGTGTGCAGGCAGGTTGGAATGGGTGGAGAAAAGTGTCAGGTTTGTTGTGTGATAAAAGAGTACCAGCAAGAATGAAAGGAAAGGTGTACAGGACAGTAGTGAGACCAGCGATGTTGTATGGTTTGGAGACAGTTGCACTGAGGAAAAGACAGGAGGAAGAGTTAGAGGTAGCAGAGCTGAAGATGTTGAGGTTCTCTTTGGGAGTGACGAGGATGGATAGGATCAGGAATGAGTACATCAGAGGGACAGCACATGTGAGATGTTTTGGAGACAAAGTTAGAGAGGCCAGGTTGAGATGGTTTGGACATGTTCAGAGGAGGGAGAGTGAATATATCGGGAAAAGGATGCTGAGGTTAGAGCTGCCAGGCAGGAGGCAGAGAGGAAGACCAAAGAGGAGGTTTATGGATGTAGCGAAGGAAGACATGAAGGTAGTCGGTCTGAGAGAAGAGGATGCAGAAGGGGATAGGGCTAGATGGAGGCAAATGATTCGCTGTGGCGACCCCTGAAGGGAACAGCCGAACGGAAAAGAAGACACTATAATATAATATAATATAATATAATATTGTAATATAGTTATTATATCTGAGTTGTCTCACGCAGCATTAGGTTAACATTTCAATAAACAAACGTGTACTACAATTACGAGCCATTCTATAAGGTGACATTTCAGCATTTGACAAACGGATAGCAACTCTTAAGTAGCACTTATAGCACAGCTACGTGTAATTGTGTTAAGTGCATTTTTGGGAAACGCACGTGAAACAATAACGAACGATCGTAAATTGACTTGTAGAAAAGGCTCTTAAGCGCTAAGATCAATCGTTATCGAGAAACGCAGCCCTGGCCATCAGACAGTCAATATTATCCTGTCCTGACCTGGTAATGATGAGATATGTTGGTTTAGCTTATCAGTGTGAATGAAATGTATGTATTTATTTGTATTTTTAACCTATTTTAAAGTGAAACTAAGTGAGAGTAGTTATCCGGCTCCTCCCTCTAGTGGAGTGTAATTGCTCCTCTACAGGGGGCATTTTTTTCTCAGCCAATGTAAGTCTATGGGAAATTTTAGATTTTTAATAATTATTTATAGGAAAACTGTAGTATGATCAGTCTGAAAAGATATAGCACACTTCTAGACATCAGGGCCCAGGTCCCTGTCGAGTTTGGGGCTTGTGGCATTAAAGCCCTAGAACGAGTTAGAGTTGGAACATTTGGTCTCAGAAGAATAAGATATAAGTTGTTGCATAACAGACAAGCCAACATAATTACAGATGTGATTACATGATGGTATTTTCAAATATAAGTACAATGTAGAAATATGTATGTACATAATAAGTTCATTTTATCAAATGATTAATTTAAATGTTAACTACATCTTAAAATTGCAAGTGTACAAATGTGCATGATGTTACCACATGTAACCACCAGGAAAAAAATAGAGGGAACATTATTTATAATGAATGACCTAGACTGACTGTTACAGTTTTTGTTGATTGCTTTGGTACTAATTTCACAAGTATGTGGTAAAACCTCACAACTGTTAGTATAAAACTCAAAGCAGATCATGAAAAAAACATTTTTTTCAAACATGTAATCACGTTCAATTGACTAAGTACAAGACACAACATTACACATTAACTTTTTCACCACACCTAATCAGTGTGTCATCAAAGAAATACCTTTCATATGAAGTACTTGTCTTTCACAATGCAATGCTCACAATTCTTATGATATCCTTCTCTTCTGATTTGAGTAAATACATTTGACCAACACTTAATCCAACTGCTCTTAATGGTTAATCACTGAACCGTTTGGTAAACCTATACATTTTAAATTGGTTTGTAAGCTATGCAGTATATGGATTTTGAGAACTACACAAATAAAATGTGTGTTTGTACAAACATCTAAATTACATGTAACCACACATGATGAATACTCATTATTGCTAATTGATTTCACATAGTGGTAATCACAATTGGTCGCTATATATAAAAGTGGGGGTGTATACACTGGACATTTCTTTCAACATGGATAGACAGAAAGGAATAGGAAGAGCTCATGGACAAGGGATCCGTCAGAGAGGTGGGCATGGGCACCAACAGAGAGGTCAGAGAGGAGGGCATGGGGCCCGTCAAAGGGTTGGTCATCAGAGAGAGGGAGGCAGAACTGTTGTCTCTAATGAAGTCCGGGCCATCATCGTTGATCATGTGGTGAACCGAGGCCTTACTATGGCAGAGGCTGTTAGATTAGTTGATCCAAATCTAAAAAGATCAACTGTAAATTCTATCATCCGAACTTTTCGCCAAGAAAACCGGTAAGTGTGGAGGATATAAACTATGCTTTACCATTATATTTACAGTAAATTGTAATGCATGTAAATTCATCAAACATGTTACAGTATTCTTAAAGTATGATCTTTACTTTACTTTGTCAATACAGTATACTCTGTTCTACGCTTAGAATTGACAGAAAATCCCATAGTGGTGACCATAGCCGTGTGCTGACCGCCCAGCAGGAGTGGGCAGTGGTGGAAATGGTGAGAGCCAGGAATGATATACGGCTGTCAGAAATAAAGCAGGCAATTGAGGAGGATAATGACACCTTTGCCAATGTGGCATCCATCAGCCTACCAACAATAGGTTGCCTGGACAACGTGGAGGAAACATCTCCATGTGCGCAGCTATCTCTGAAGATGGTGTCATAGGACTTAGGTCATTAATTGGCTCCTATAACGCTGCACATCTCATTGAGTTTCTCAATGAAATTGAGCTGGCCTGTCAAGGGGAAGGGGTCACCTATGTAATTGTGTGGGACAATGTCAGGTTCCACCATGCAGATGTTGATCAAGCATGGTTTCAGGCCCATCCCCGATTCATGACCCTCTACCTGTCTCCATATTCTACTTTCCTCAACCCTATTGAGGAATTTTTCTAAGCATGGAGGTGGAAGGTCTATGATCGCCATGAGAGCCAGGAATGATATACGGCTGTCAGAAATAAAGCAGGCAATTGAGGAGGATAATGACACCTTTGCCAATGTGGCATCCATCAGCCTACCAACAATAGGTTGCCTGGACAACGTGGAGGAAACATCTCCATGTGCGCAGCTATCTCTGAAGATGGTGTCATAGGACTTAGGTCATTAATTGGCTCCTATAACGCTGCACATCTCATTGAGTTTCTCAATGAAATTGAGCTGGCCTGTCAAGGGGAAGGGGTCACCTATGTAATTGTGTGGGACAATGTCAGGTTCCACCATGCAGATGTTGATCAAGCATGGTTTCAGGCCCATCCCCGATTCATGACCCTCTACCTGTCTCCATATTCTACTTTCCTCAACCCTATTGAGGAATTTTTCTAAGCATGGAGGTGGAAGGTCTATGATCGCCAACCCCTTGAGCGCGCCACCCTCCTTCAGGCCATGGATGAGGCATGTGAGGACATCAGTGTAGACCAAGGTTTTTTCCAAGGTGCATGAACAATGATGACAAACATTGTGATGTGGACGAGAATCTATGGCCAAATGATCAAGACAGGCTTGACCCAAATTAATGTAATGTGTGTGTGTGCACTAAATGTTATGTTTTGTTTTTTATTTAGCTGATTTGTTTGATTTAAATGTGTACATTTCATTATTGAATGTAAAGCTATTTTACAATTATATCTGAAAAATAAAAACAAATTTGCCCATATAATTGGAGAGGATGTCTTCGTTGATCCTTCACTTGATTACACATAAGATAGATATTATGGAAATTACAGATTCTGTAAAATTTGGGTAATGTAAGTGTATTGCCTAATGTGAAAACCGTGTAATCTGTCTTTTACAGTGCTGTAGCATAATAATTTCAGCACTAAGGCCGATTTGAAACACGTATCTTGTATCGTTTGCTATTAAATGAACTGATTGTTAAAAGTCCTAAACTGAAAGAAGATCATACTGTTGTGTTTCGGTGATTAAACCAAATGTTGTCATTACATATTACAATAATCTTGTGTTTGAAACAGTGATTATGTGGACTGAAAATATGTGCAACTGAATAAAAGCATTACATCACGTTTTGAAAGAATGACAAGCTGTGTTACAATTGTGATCAGTTTGGATTTTTGTACTAAGAGTTTTGAAAAAGTACACCTTACTTGTGAAATTAGTACCAAAGCGATCAACAAAAACTGTATTAGCAAACATGAGCAATCAGACCATCCACTATGTCTTTTCCTGTCTCCATATAACAGTTGGGAAGCATATTCTTTGGTTTGGTGAAACTGCTCTAGCACATCAATTTGTTTAAAATCTGCTGTTGAAATGTGTTGGTATTAAAATCCTGCTGAGCGCTTCAAACTATTTCTAACTGTTGTGGAGACTCTCTATTCTTTCAGTGAAATCACAAAATAAAATGCACACAAACCATCACCGATAAACACATTCGGTTTTAATGAGGAAAAAAACTATATGCGGGGAGATTAGAACCCCAAGTCCAGCTAACTTAGCAATTACAAAGCAATTACTTCAATCAATCAATCAACATTTATTTATTTATGTGCAGAGTCTAGGCCCGGCCATGGAAAAAGCCTGCTCACCCCAATGTGTGTACCTTGACCTCGGGACTTCCAGCAAAAGTTGATTTGTTGACCTCAAAGCCCTGTTAGGCTGATGAAAAGCCAGCATCTCAATTAAATAAGGTGGGGAGAGGCCATTGAGGGCTTTCAAAACAAATAATACAATTTTAAAATCAACTCTGAACGAAACTGGAAGGCAGTGGAATAGAGAATTGGGGTGACATGCTCACGTCTGTGTGAACTGGTTAAATGCTGGGTCGCAGCGTTCTGCACCAGCTGGAGATGACTGAGAGATGACTGTTAGACACCAACATAAAGTGCATTGCAA